ATAATAGTAATCTCCCAATTAAGAGCAACCATTCAATTGAAGTTGTCACAAATTTCTTCATCAGAGGTCAGTGAATGACAAAGTACAAAGGTAGTCACTATTGAGAAAAAGTTTAAGAGTACAGGATTGGGACTGTCGTTCACTTGATATTAAGAAAAAAGATATAACTGAGGATATATTTTCAAATACATTTGTGTGCATTTACACATCTTTTATGCCTGGACAATCTCACAGAACCAATGATCTTTAAACAGGCTCTTACATGCAGCCTTTGTTTAGGTCATGAAGAACATAGAGCTGGCAGCTGGAGACAGACATAAGAGCAAGAACTGCAAGACTTATTTTATGTAATTCTGAATAAAGTATAAAACCCGTATTATGAAAGAATAACCACCATGGAAAGATGCTGAAAACACAGAATAAAAAAAAAAAGTATTGAATTTTATTCATTCTTTGACCACAAATACATGCGAGCTCTATAAAGTATTACATTTGTTTTATGATGAAAATTTCATATTCAAAATATATTGTTTCCAAACTCTAAAGTAGTTCTACACTGCACCAAAATAAATGAATGCCAACATTTCATAAACTCCTTCCTTGTGTTTTTGGCAGCTGATTTCTGGTCTCTGAAATTTCATGTGCAGATTTCGTGGCAATGTTTTTTTTTTTTTTTTCCTTCAGCAATTGCTTTGAATAAACAACATGATTTTCAATGCCTTTACCTAATATAGATAATGAGCAAAAGTAAAATGCAAAAGGCAACAGCTGATGCGATGGTGAATCGTCCAAATGCCTGGGTTTTCTTGACTTAAACCTGCTGCTGCTATAGAAGCAGCTATTAACAACAGACAGATGGTGCCAAGCCCATTGTTGCTCTCAGCCGCCTCTGCCCTTCCCTCAGCCTCCCTGCTGTCCACACCTCCTCACTTATGATACTGTCATTGTCCCTGGAAATGTTAATTTCTTGGAGCATTACGTTAACAGTATCAAAAACTCACCATGGTTGGATGTGTTATTTGCTTGTGAACCAAAATGAAAAGATGGGTTTCTAGACTGTAACTATTTCTCCTTTGACACAAAATGCAGTGAGTCCTCTGTTTCAGTATCTAGCAATCCATGTGCCTTTGTGTTTTCCTTACAAAGTCATTTGGGGTGTATAGATGTGTATGAAACAATAAAATACATGATTTTTTTCCAGACAAATATTGTTTCCTTCTACAAGTAATAAAATAATCATTAAAAGTAACCAAAAGTGTATATTGAGAGAGTAACTTCCATGTTTACCTACTTCCTCAAGTTTTATTTCAAAGTTACTATTATGACTCCAGATGCGATACTTTTTAGTGTTTTTCTTCTTTATAGAATAAAACTAGTTACACACTACCTAGTGTACACTTATATTGAGTGTAATTTAACTGAACATTTTTTTTTTGTATGTCTATGTTACCTTCCTTCTGATAGCACATCAGATAATACAAACTTGGTGTGTTAAAATTGTGAATGTATTATTTAATGTTGTGAATTTTATACATTTAAATTTTTCCTCACTGAGATAATGTGAAGATATTAAAGGGAACTGCCTGAGATTTATTTCATTTTGCTTTAGTTTGTCTGAGTTTATCTGGTCTCCTTTGCTCAGAGCCACCATCTATCTTCAAAGCTAGCAGAAGCCGGTTGACTCTCACCTGGTTCATTAATAATGTGACATCAGTCTTCTATATCTCTGCTTCACAGTTTCAGAATTCCTTTGATGACTGTTACACCATCTATACGATCAGTGTATTGTCTTAGTTCCTAAACACAATGCAGGAACCTGAATTCAATACATAACCTGATGCTATAGAAAATATAGGATTTGGAAGGTGGTACATAACATATCCTGTAATTCAATTTGCTTATCTACAATTATGAATAATCTGCTTTCCCAGATATACAGTTAAATAGATATCCACCTACATTGACATGTACGCACATGCACATGTAAATAAATATACAAGTATTGTTTAGAAGGTATGCACATGTATTGCTCAATTGTACAGAGTGCTTGAGTCAGAAATCATAAATTAATCAACATATATCAAGTTTTATTGTACTTTATAATCTTGTTTCTTTATATTCTTTTATGCTTATATTTGACATAACAATTTTATTTAATAAGGCAAATATGAACATATATTACTAATAGTTATCCATATAGTAAATATTTTCAAAATGTTATTCTTTTTGAAATACTCTTTCATTATCAACTTCTATTTCAACTAATATGTAATAAAAGCAGTATTTAATTCAAAATCCTCCAATTTTCCACTGATGTGGTTGTGAGGATTGCCAATCATAAGTGTCTCCTCTCATCAGTCAGGCTGATTCAGATGACTTGTTTAGATCTGACACTAAAAGAAAAGTGTCTTGTAATTTTTTTCCCACTAGCTCCTGGTGCCCAAGAGAGAGCACAAAACACTTTTATATGATCCATGAGATATGCCAGTGACTCTGGATTTTTAATAGTTAGATAAATGTGAGAAGACAGCAGCAGAAGCAAGCTATGACTTTTGCTTGGACACCTTAGGGATAATATTTATATCTTACTCAGAAACATTATTACAGACTGTTTTTATCAAAAGATTCCTGTAGAAGATATCATCCAGAAAAAAAAAGTTTCTCTACTTTCAATTTGCCTTGGCTTATTAATTATTTTTTCCATCTTTCCTATTATATAAAGAATTAAATAATACATAAAGTATTAGCTATTGCAATTCAAGATGTGTGTGTAAAGAGTACAGGTTTTCCTCCCGCCGCCTGTCTTGTCCCGCTGCCGCCACGCCAGCCCCAATTAACACACAGAGACTCTGTATTTGATATAATTCTGTTGGCCCATTATTTGTTTCTTATTGGCTAGCTCTGCCTTAATTATTAACCCATTTCTGCTGATCTATGTATTTCTCTTACCAGGGACCTGGCTGGCATTCTGCTTTCTCCAGACTCTCCATCTTGGCTCCTCTTTCCTACTTCCTCTCTCCTCCTTGTCTCCTAGTCCCTCCTATCTCCTTTCCTATTGGCCAACATTGCTTTATTCATTAACCAGTATGAGAACATATACAGAATGACATCTCCCATCATGTGTGACTCTAATACATTATACATATTTTTAATATTCTTTAACTAATACACATTTTTTACAATTTTGTTATTATGTATGTGCAAATAAAATAATGGATTAATCTAGTCAACAATGGTAGTGGCAACTAAATTAAGGGCAATCACTACACAACACAATTATGTAGTAGGGTATGCCTGGGTTTTATATCCATAGATGTGAATGAAACTGGAGGGCTGTTAGAAGACTTTCAAGATATGGTTAGGCATTCTAAAAATACTTGGGCTTTTGCCCATATTTTATTATATATTATTGTATGCTAATCTGCTCTCAACACTTCTTACCACTAATTTCCTTCCAAAAACTGCCTTTTCAGGTGGCCCACTTTAAAAATTGATTGATTGAAGAGTGCCTGAATGACCCTTTCCCTTAGATGGTAAAAGCAATGAGAAACATATTTTGTTCTAATCTCTCCGTGAAACTGAACACAATTTACCTATTATGTGAATTTGTATACCATCTCCTTTGTTCTAGCCCCCTTCATATCCAACTCACTGTTTTACAGAGTCATGTCCACAGGTCTACTCTTCTTAATGAGATCCAGTATGTTTGAGTTTGCAGTAGAACTCTGATTGAAATTCCTCTCAATTTTCATATCATCTACCACAGGAATAGCATATGATTTGACATTTTATGTCCTGGTAGTGCTATTATTAATGTAGTTCTTGCTCAATACTATGCTTCATGTCTCCCTTTATTCTGTCCTGTCATCCTGGGATGTCTTATTCCTGTGTTTGGTACTATTATCAAGGTGACCTTTTCAGACTGATTCCTTCACTCTTTGAAAAGTCTCCTTTTCAATTCTTGAACTTAAGGGTGGCACCATTTGTTCTTAGGTAGTTTCCTAGAATGTCTCCAAGGTGATTATACTCAGCAGTAAGAATGCTGTAGAAACCTCCATGTGGCTTCCTAGGAACACTATATTGAAGTGATTAAGAGAATCACATTGCAGGTCATAATGTTGAAGTTCTACTTCAGCCACTCATTAGCAATCCAGATGGGGGATATATTTACTTTTATAGCACATGAATCTCATTTTATGTTCATAAATTGGTAAGTGATTTATAGTAGAGTTGGTTTATGGATGAATTTAAATAATGTATATAGGTTTACAAAATTGATAACTAATTTATGGAGTGTCTTAAAATGTAGGTAGAAAAATAAAGAGCATAATTATCTAGATATAGAACTGAGTAACTAGAAAAAAGGGAGGGTTTGTTAACTTTAATCATATGAAAACATAATGGATGATTGGAGAAAGAATTGGAATAATGAGGTAATATCTAGAATTCAAACATGACTGTCTGGTTTAAAAGTGAAAGTATGGTAATTTAATACTCAAGTAAGCTCTAAGAGAGAAAATTAGGAGATAAAAATAGCTCCTGAATATTTCTGTTGATCATAAGATGTCCAAGGTCTGCATCTTGCAATAAGACATTGCAGAGAACAGATGGACTCAGACAGAGACAAAATTAAGCTCATGAGGCCAATTGGCATAAATTTCACTACAAAATATTACATGTCATCCTGTCTTCTACTAGAACCGATAGAGCTGAACTGAAAGTACAAACAGCTCCTTGTGCTATAAAATACACTAGGCTCTTTATTTGATCCTGCCATTAACTGAGGTCTGATGGCCCATCTTTCATTTAACTTCTCACTGTAACTTTGCTTTTGCTGAACCCACAGAAATTTGTTGGCAGTCAACAGCTGTAGTTCCTTTGGATTTCACGAAGAACAAAACCTAGGGACATTTATGTTAGTGAGGCCATATTCTGGAGCACAAATGAACATCTGCAAGTACCAGATTGTTCATCGTCCTCCCTCCCCCGCAGGGGAGACAGAGCAGAGAGCGCGAACGCAGAACTCCACTACCACAAATTATGAGGTCGAGTTTCCACATTTGTGGAAATTGCTGGGGTCAGCACATCTGAAGTGCAATGGCCAACCTGGGAAAACCATCTTCAAGTTCATTGTTTCTCTCCTTCCAGTTAAGCATTCAGATTGATCATCTTAAAGTCCAACAATCATATGGCTTCCATTGGACTTTGCAGATCCAGAAGTTAGTCAGCAGTGATGAGAAGAGTTAGAGCAGCAGTGCTTAATTAGAGATATCTCCTCCCCAACATTCCAATTTTTCCTGTACCAAATCTGAAGCTCATATAAATGTGGGCTTGAATATGACTAGATTTCTTTCCTGATGCACTCAGGTTGCAAGAATATCTTTTCTCTGATCCTCACCTTCATATTCATTGGCATGTTGGAATGGTGAATGAAACTAGATTGATGGAACTCTTGAAATGCTGATTGGTGCTTTCTTTCAAACTGATAGTGCTTTTCCTCTGAAAATCCTCCAATGAAAGCAGAATAAAATCTGTCTTCTATGTTTCTTGTTTTCTAACCTTATCCCTAACTGAAATGCTAAATTCATCTCAGTCATATAAATAAAACACAGTCATGTTGAATATCTCAGGTGTGACAGTGTAGCCCCACAGATGCTGGAGATTTTACCTACAGAGGAATGTTTTACTTTGAAAATAAATACGATATAAGGCTCTTTTTTTCACATTCTTCTTTTAACTATACCTAAAACCTAGATAGTCTATGACCACTCTACTGCTTCAAGTGTACATTATCTACTAACCAAAGAAAAGTCAATATGGGTCTACCAGTTAATGAGAAAAATAGGAGTCTGGTTCCTTCGTTTCCCAAATATATTGCTGTTTCTTTGAAGGTTATTTATTAAGAAAATGTTATTATAAAGATACTTATTTAGTCTGTAGTTAGGAATCATGGTGATTTGGCAAAAAGGTGTTTTTAGGTTCTCCTTTAAGAACCTCGAGTACACTAGCATGTGTTGTCTGCTAGGTTTCAAGAGTCAGGGATAATTACCCTTATGTGGAGCTAAACTTCAGTCTAACTATGAAACTATTGATTAACAGCAAGATGTGAGTGCCGTTATTGTACACTTTGGGTTTCTTTCCATACTGGTCATGTAAGCATAGGTCTCACTCCTCAGCACAGACATTTCTCTTAGCAAGAGAACCAGAAAATTGCAGTAGATGAAACTTCAGAGAATATGTGATTCCATTGTACCAAGCTCTCACTTATTCATCTAAAACACAACTCATGCACCCAAGAGTCAAGAAGCATGTTAAAGAAGCAATGGATAGATTGCAAGAACTAGAGAATCTGGATATCTGAAGTGAAATAGCATGTCCTAGAAATGCCAGAGAGACTACACACATGAAGTCCCAACAATATGACTACAAGACCTGTAATAAAACAACACTAAAAGACATGCTAGAAATCTCATGAGACAGCAGTCAAAACACTACATGCCACTAAGCAATGAAGCAAGTGGAAAAAGTAGATTTCACAAAGGAAGAGCTCTGTAATTAACTAACCACTATTAAGTGGTCAGCCATGAAAACATATATACAAGTAACATTTGCTCTGTGTGTGTGTGTGTGTGTGTGTGTGTGTGTGTGTGTGTGTGTGTGCGCGCGCACGCGTGCGCACATGCATTGTTTGTGTGTATTCAATAATTAAAGAAAATGAAAAAAGAAGCCAGGTGCCATCAATTGGAGAGATCAAAGGCCAGCAAGATATATGATTGGTTAGAGCAGGGAAATGACAGGGTAAATTTATGTAATTACGTGTTAATTTTAAAAAGTAAAAACAAAACATGAAGATACATTGCTTATCATTTTTTCCTCAATGGAAAACGGTAATTATTTATTTGGTGATGATGTTGTGCATGGGGACAGTACCAAAGTAGGTATAAAATTCTAATTGACAAATAATTTTTAGAAACTGAGTGCTATCAACTTCCAGTACAATCAGAGAGTATGGAACCTGGGTCCCAAGGGTCCAAAAATCTTTTCAAACTGTCTTGCCTCCCTATCAAGGCACTGGTTCTACAAATTTTCCTTAACCATGCTAACAGTTTTTGCTGTCCTAAATTCCATGTGGTACAGGTTGATTCTGGTGAAACACTAGCCCTCATGTAAGCATCACCAAATTTACTTAAACATGTAGCACATAAAATGAAGAGCAAATAAGCAAAGCATCATCAGATTAAAGCTGAGTGTGAAAGGATTTTCTTGTAACCTGGAAATCTGAGCAGAAGCTACTAAGAGATAATTCATTTTCTTGCCAGGTGACCTCCAGCTGTAGGTTCCCAAGGCCTTGATTTGGTGTGCCCAGAAATAATCTGCCAGCCACACAGCTGTCCCAGTTCAACGTGGAGAAAACAAGACAGCCATCCTTTTCTGTAGATGCTTCCTTTCCCCTCTAGGCAGTCAATAACATTTGCTTCTTAGGTTGTCAGATACTCCCTTAAAAACGGGCCTTGTGGCTTCAGGAGAAGCCCAAGTTTGACGTACTGGGAACTTAAATTATGAAACCAAGAGCAAGCAGTGAGAGGGGGAACAGTGATGGGAGGCAAAGCGAATGTGCAGAGTGTGTAGGACTATGGGCAATTCTTGGTCTGTGAGTTGTTAATCACAAGACACTTAAGGCAAGTCTTTCTTAGTAAATATTATCTATAATAAGAAGTGCTTGAAGGAATAGCTGAGTCTATCTGATAACAGCAGAAAAGTCAATTGATACAAATAAATGTTATTTAGTGGAAATGCAAAGTTTACTTAGAAGAAAGATGGTAAGGTAGTAAAACATGTTTAAAGGTCTCCTCAAACTAAATCTAAACCGTTTCTTTAATTGTACAAAATATACTTTGCTGATAGCTGTAAAGTTATATATGCAAATATAAAAACAATTTAGGAGAAAGGTAACACTCAACATTAAACTACTGGAGCTGAAATAAATTTAGTACATCAAATAACTGCAAGGAACTGCTGTTGTATCAGAGTGCCTCAAAAATCCATTAAGCTATTTAAAGACAGTTCATTTCTTTAAGTGCACAGAGAAGGATGGATACACAATAGAAAAACTAGGTAAGGCCATTGCAATCATTTTCAAATGCCATTTTTATTTCTAAATAGATTGAGGTCTGTATAACAGATTGTGTTCAGAGACTATGAAGACATCTATTATATCCTCTTAGCTGATAAGATTAAGGATATTCCTTAGAATAGAAAGAATATTATTGAAAAGATTTTGGAAACACTTAAAAGTTAAAAATGTATTGATGTCGAAATTCTGTGCACCTTACTATGACATGTTTTATTGGTTGAGCCCTCAGTTTTTTGTATTATTATTTTGAAAATAATGTTTAAAGCAATACCTCATGGTAAAGAAGATTGAGAAGGAATTGCTCCTCTTCTATTTTGTGAAGTTACAGCCAGGGAACAGGCTGAAGTCAGAAGTGATGTATGGAGGTTGTGTATTAGGTGCAGGAGAATGGCTTTCCCTTATGAAAGACATCAAAAACAGAGGAACATTAGTTCAATCACCAAGGTGACCTCTTGATCCATTTTTCTCTTCATGAACATTCTCCAATGTAGCAAGCACAATATGACTGTGGCTGTGGCAATTTAAATGTTGTGAGACAACTGGGAAATAATGAGTCTTTCTAAGTTAAATTCATCAGTAAAAATGACTTGAGTATGTAAAGCTGAAGTTTAAGTTTTAAAAGAAATTATTTGGTTATATCTCATCCAGTGTGTCATAAACTTAACATTTCTGTGGAAAAAAAATAACATAGACCATTGGAAGCCAGACTGAGCCATGCAAGACACTAAAAGAAGCTGAAAGGACAGAAGCCACTAGTGAGTGACGGGAATTTATTAATGGCAGACCCCTATGGTGCTGTTAGGCTACAGGTAACTCAGGAAAAAAATAAATATGGCAATGTGGTGATAATGGAGCTTCACATAGGGAAAACTCAAAATATTGCTGCCAATTTTACCTTCATATTTTAGAAAGCTTTATATACTGGGAAACTCAAAATACTATTGCCAATTTTATCAGGAATTGAGTATGAACCCATACTGAACTCATTAAGAAGAAACTATTCATCAACACTTAAAGAAAGAGCAAGTCAGGCCCAATGCCATCTGTGATTCATGGCTCATTCATTACCAGTGTCAAAACCAGTAACACCTACCTATGCCATGATGAGTAAATGTTTCTTTCAACATTTACAATCCTTTCAACTTAGACTACAAAAGAAAGATTGGCATGACAGTTAACACAATGAAGTAATCTGAACAGTTCACTGACATTGCCCATTCTTCTTTTGAACCTGTGATTTTCTTGCATTGAGTCAGACACTGTTGATATGGAGGACATTGACCTTTAAGACCTCTTCCAGCTCTGAAAATTTATAATTCACCGGTACACAAAATGCATGACCCTCTGTTCTTCATATGTCCTCATCAGAATATGTTTTCTCTCTGCCAAACTGAAGGCTGAAATCATAATCATATGGGCAGCCCCAACCAAGGTGTCCCCAGAGAATTTGCCCATCACAGAAACAGCTGTCCTCCTGACTATATAAAGTGGCTTAAATAGTTCCGTTTAAACATTTTATTTATGCACTCAGGTGCCTCATCAGCTAAAGGGTGTGTGGTAAATCCCTATGGACAGGAGGGTTGGGAGATTTTTTGTTTGTTTGTTTGTTTACACTTAATATAACATGCTAAATCAGTTCATCCCTTTATTGACATTAAAGTGAGAGGAAAAGAGGTTTCAGTTTTCATTTCATGTCTCCTAAGTGTTAAAGACAACACATAATATACTAAGAAAATAAGATTTGTAGGCAATTTCTTTGAGTGGTAACTCAGTCTCCACGTCAATCAGTTAATATTGAATGACTTATTTAGACTCTCTGACTCATATTTCTCCTTTATTACTTGAAAAGGCATAATTGTTATCTCAAAGAGTTATATGAAAAGTTGGAAACTACTTCATAAGCATAGTTAGCTTGTGCCTCCTGAAGTATCTGCAAATAATTGTTTCCTTTGCTGATGTGACTCATGTGCAGCAGCTACTTCACTAGATCATCTGATTATTAAAATAAATCAGATGTCTACT